CAGGCGGATCTCTGTGAGTTCGAGGCCAGCCTGGGCTACCAAGTGAGTCCCAGGAAAGGCACAAAGCTACACAGAGAAACCCTGTCTCAAAAAACAACAAAAAAAAAACCAAAAAACAAAAATTGTTGCATATTAGTAATGATGAGTCTTACAGCGAAGTGTGTGTGTGTGTGTGTGTGTGTGTGTGTGTGTGTGTGTGTGTGTGTATGTGTGTTTCGAGGAGTCATGAATCTAGTGCATTATGCTACAATCTAAGAATTTAGTTCCATTACCTGTAATTTTCTTCATGTGAGACTTCAACTTTTTTCTTCTTGTAAATATCGGAAAGAAACAGAAAACTATAGTGTTGATTTCTATCACAAGATCTTCAATTAGTTTTTTCCAAGAAGATAACATTCAAACTTTAATCTAAGTCTAATATTTAATGGCACATCTTCCTTCTAGAAGTCTCATATACAATAAATTTTATCATAAGCCATAGTTCAAGAATTATGGTTAATTTTAATTTCTGTCCCCGTTCACATAAATGTGTCTGTCTTGGTTCTGTTGTTGAATATTAGCTAAGAATGGAGGCAGAGAAAATGTCCCTATCTAGGTTATTAGTGGCCACTGTAAGGCCTACTGAGCCAGCCATACTGCCAAGGACTACAGGACTGGCCATTAAGCAAGAACAAATATATTTGCAAGAAGAGATGAAAGCCAGTGCTGGGGAGGCGAAAGGCTTTGTTTCATCCCATCATTAGCTTGTGTAACTTCTCATCTATCATGAGCCTGTGTGCTCCCAGTGGTCCATTTAATTGCTTTACTTGTCAACAAAACGTGAGAGATTATCAGATTCGGTCTGAGTCCTCCGGAGGCACAGTTAGCATTTCTAGTTATAAAAGACCACGTTACATAACACTTTTCTTAAATTAATTCTCAGCATTTAACTGGTGTAAATTGGGGTCTCCTAATCCAATTTGTGTTCATACTTATCTGGGTTCCAAGAATAAAAAAGATATTTAAGTCTACTAAGGAATAAGAACAGCTACCAGTATTCAGTATTCATTTGAAATTGTCCACCAAACAGCATATGTATATAAATTTTGATATATATTAATCCAAGGAAAAGATACATTCTTCCACAAGTTGAAGTATACTACTGTAAATAAGACTTTGGAACATTCTCTAAAAATTAGAGGCAATATTTGTTATCTCAGTTGTATGATTTTGGGTCAACTGAAACCTTCAGTCAGTTTTCTTATCATTAGAATAAAGCTAAAACTTCTTTAGATTACCTCATATCACAGGCTGCTCAAATGATGCCAATGAGACACACTGAAAACTCAATATCTTCAGACAGAGTGATATGTTTGTATGAATGTTCTCTGTTAAACATAAACATATAGAAACATCTATAGAGTCAACTAGTCGCCCATATGTTTTTACAAAAAAAAAACTAATAATGAAAATAATATCTGACTTGAGCTCCATGCATCTATTGTGGCTCCTTCCAAAATGCAATCTAACAGGAAGATGGTTTTGGCAGCTTTTCAAACAGATTAGAGTTTTATTCTTCTGAGGGGGAAATTCTCATTAAAGCCCATAATCATAAAAGGCTCAATCCCATCTTTTAATAGTCCTTGTTTATGCCTTGATTATGGTCTGGGGGCTACTTTTTAAAGGTATCTAGGTCCTATACTTGAAGCACATTTCAGATGTACATTAAACCATAGTCATAGCAGAAGCAAAGACTGAAGATTAATAGAAGGGTACAGCCTTACTTCCAAAGTACACTGAACAGTCATGGCCACGTGACCATTTGGAATGTTCCTGGTGCTTCCTAGAACTAAAGTATGCATGCCTTGCTTTATGAAGATGCCTTTGCAAATTGTGTTCCCGTTCATGTTAATCAGATTCATAGGAAGGAGAAAATAATGTTTGCCTCTCTCTTTGCTTTAACTCCCAGCAAAGATGAAAGCAAATTGAACTTCAGTGTGAAAGGTTGTTCTCCTGAATCCAAACATGATAACGCTTTCATTTCAATCACAATGTTTTCCTTCGTGTGCTTTAAGAGAGCTATTTTTCTAATAGATTGAATAAAGCATATCCCCAGTGAGTCATGAGTAAATCCGGTGTTCATTCTCTGATCAGGAGCTTTCATTTTATCTCCCATTTGCATGCAAACATGTCACTCCACAGCAAGTGATTTTTCTGGATGCGATGATGACAGTATTTGAGTATACTTTTATCTTTGCTGTTGCTGTGTCAACACCAGACTAAATGATTGACAAAATAATAAAAATAATCAATGAAGACAACCTGCTCCAAAGTCCTGATTTCCCAGTTGCTAATTGATTGTCTGTCTAGCCTAGGTAAATTGTTTGAAATACTCAAAATGTCCGTAGGACTTTTTATACATTTTGTGTCGTTCTGTCTTGTGTCTGTGTGGTCTATTGTCTAGTATATAACAGATAGGGATGGTATAGCAATAGGAGTCTTTGCAATATAATAATTAGTTAAATATAAATTCTTGGAAGAGCCACATTACATTTCTGAGCAATTAACCTCTCTACATAACATGAATACTCTCTACTTATCACACCTTTCACCTTTGTCTGTTCTGAGTAACTAGGGGAGCAATCCCATGAGGCTATCCCTGGAAGGAGATGTCCACGTGCGACTTTGACATTACTGTCTATTAACTTGGGAACCCTTGTCTCCAGGTGGGCGTTGGGAAAAAGGCAGAAGCTGTGGCTACCGTTGTAGCTGCTGTGGACCAGGCTCGTGTGCGAGAACCCAGGGAGCCCGCGCACGTAGAGGACTCATACACCCAGCAGACCACGTTAGAGTATGGCTACAAGGAACACATTTCCACCACAAAGGTGCCTGAGCAGCCCCAGCGCCCAGCCTCAGAACCCCACGTTGTCCCTAAAGCAGTCAAGCCTGTTGTGATTCAGGCTCCCTCTGAGACTCACATCAAAACTACTGACCAAATGGGAATGCACATATCATCACAGGTAAGTCTGTGGCTGCGTTTCATGGTGTGTGGGAAAGCAGCCACACATGCTGTGGGCACCTGGTGAACAGTGATGTCACTGAGTTTCATTTAACGCAGGTCAAGAAAACGACAGATATATCAACTGAAAGATTAGTCCATGTGGATAAACGCCCCCGCACAGCAAGCCCTCACTTTACTGTTTCAAAAATTACTGTACCTAAGACAGAACATGGATATGAGGTAAGATGTGGGGCATAATAAAGAAATGGTTAGCTAAAAAAGAATAGTTCCTTGCTCCTGATGTAGGGCATTTTTGTGTAGCCAATTGGGTTCCATTTTGATGGGGTACCAGTGTTCATGGTGGACTCAGATGCTAGAGCCTTGTCTTCTGAACAAAGTCTCCTAGGATGAAGTCAATGAAAAGTTGTTAGATTCCAGCCCCAAAGAGACAAAATTCTCACAGGCTCAGGCTTCTCTGTCTCCTCCTTCAAAGATGGTTCGAACTCAGTTGCTTTGACTAGTGTGTGTGTGTGTGTGTGTGTGTGTGTGTGTGTGTGTGTGTGTGTGTGTGTGTGTGTGTTTCAAAACAAGGTTTCTTTGTGTAGCCCTGGCTGTCCTGGAACTTACTCTGTCAACCAAGCTGGCCTCAAACTCAGAGATTCACCTGCCTTTGCCTCTCGAGTACTGAGTTCAAAGGCGTGAGCTGCTACTGCCCAGCTTGATTAATATATTTCTAATCATTTTGTAAATAGTAGTAGTTTATATAGTATAGTGTCTCCTAAGCTGTGAGACACTTCAAGGAACTTAACTGTATGGGTTTTAATAAGAGAAGACAATGACAAGTCAGTTGCACGTGATCCATATAGCAAAGTGGAGAATGTCTGTTTTCACCTGTCACATAGACTTGTGGCTGCATCCATCCAAATGTGCAATCCCCAAATATTCTTAGAATTGATCAATTAAAATTAGAGTTCCCTGTTATAGTGGTTCCCAGTGCAGCATTCATTATTATCACATGACACTTAAATTGGATTGTGGAATGGCACAGCTCTGGACTAGAGTCCTACTTCTGTTCCTTATAACCATGTGGGGAAACAGAACAATCTTCAAAATTAATTACTAGAGTCTTTATAGTAAGGACTTGCCTTCTCTGTCCTCAAAGAATCATAAGCAATGCACAATGCCTGTGTCTGGAGATAATCTCAAGTTACTACTGAAACTAAATAACTACACACATACCCCAGAACAGAAACAAATAAGGAACCCATCAGAATATTTTTCTGTTTTTACCTTTCATGCACACTTGTGACTGGCATCCAAATGTATGACTGCGAAGGACTTCTAAAATTTATCAGTATTTAAATTTTTATTTTGAATTTCCTGTTATAATGAAGGTTGCAAGTGTAGCATTCATCAGAGCTGAGTAAAGAAAATTCCTGACTGAGCTCTAGACGATCCATAAAATAAGGGGCACCTCACGCAACTCTCTCAAGGGGCAATTTTAAAGCTGTCTAGATAAACAGAAATTGGTTGATCTCTGCCTTTTCATTAACTGTAAGAGAAATAATGGAAGTATTTGGTCACAAAGAAAGTATTTTGGTCAAAGAGACCAAAGCCAGCCATGGTGCATGTGCCCGTAATGCCAGCATTCGGGGGCAGACAGAGAGAGGCTCGATACTCAGACACCAGTGCTGAGCATTTCTGAATGACTTGCAGGACAGCTCAGTAACGCCATCTCAATGCTCTTCCATCCAGGCATCGATAGCTGGTAGTGCTATCGCCACACTACAAAAGGAGCTGTCTGCCACATCTTCTACTCAGAAGATCACCAAATCGGTAAAGGCACCCACTGTGAAGCCCGGAGAGACGAGAGTAAGGGCGGAACCGACCCCTTCCCCACAGTTTCCCTTCGCTGATATGCCGGCGCCAGATACTTACAAGAGTCAAGCTGGCATTGAGGTGAAGAAGGAAGTTGGGGTGAGCATCAGCGGCAGCACTCTTCGTGAGGAGCACTTTGAAGTACTGCATGGGCGTGAAGCCAAGGTGGGTCCCTGGCTGACCGGGGGGGGGGGTGCTCTTCTCCTTCCCATGCCTCATTTCATCAAGCATGCTATGGAAGGGTGTAGCTGGAGAGTTTTCTCTCTGGGTCCCGCCAAACCCCAGCAGTCCGACAGCCCACTTACAAAATAAACACACAGACGCTTGTATTATTTAAACTGTTTGGCCTAATGGCTCAGGCTTCTAGCTATCTAGTTCTTACATCTTAAATTAATCCATTTCTATAAATCTATGCCTTGCCATGTGGCCCGTGGCTTACCAGCATCTTCACATGCTGCTTGTCATGGCGGCAGCTGGCAGTGTCTCCTTCACTCAGCCTTCCACTTCCCAGAATTCTCCTCTCCTCATCCTGCCTACTTCCTGCCTGGCCACTGGCCAATCAGTGTTTTATTTATTGACCAATCAGAGCAATTTGACATACAGACCATCCCACAGCAGAAGGGAGGTGGTTTTTGCAGAAAGACTTTTATTACTTGATACGTGCTGATGGTTCATGAGATTGCCCTTAAATCCATGGCTATGTTGTAACCTCTTTTCTCAAAACCGTAGGTAACAGAAGCAGCTCGAGTGCCAGCCCCTGCTGAAGTCCCTGTCACTCCACCTACCTTAGTCTCGGTGAGTAAACACATCGACATGTTGGCCCCTATTGACCTGTGCTCAAACCCCTTCAACACGGGCTAGCAAAGACCGAGTTCTCATACTTTCAGGAAAGTGCCGTCGTTGGCTTGTAAACTTTGGCTTTCCCGGAGTACCCTCTTTGGCCAGGAAAGGGCATTTCCACTCAGCAACCATCATTCTTACTGTTTGTAATGATCCTGATATCTGCACAGCATGACTTCAGGAACTGTGGGGCTATAAAGAGTAACTGGGCCCCATGGGAGTCTTTGCCTTGCCACCTGTGGAAATGTACAAAAACAGACAGTTAATGGAACACAGAAGGTTCTCAGCACCCTGATGGATCAGCAGATCAGCTCCAGTTAGGGGTCCCATGGAAAAGCTTCGTTGACCGATGGTGTTTGCTGCTGGGCCTTACTGCTTCTCTAGAATTTAAATGTGAGAATAACAGGAGCTTCCTGGTTATATGGAATTCATGTAATTCCACTGCAGAGATCAGGACATGCCTGGCACTGATTTCAAACTGGGAATATTCCAAGTCTGTACTAACTGTTCTGGAGTCCTCATCTTAGGGCGTTTTACTCCAGTTAAAATGTTCAAGCTCCAACCACGTATCTGATCTAATCTATAGAGGTGACTAATGGATATGTGCACAGTAGTATTTCCTTTTCCTTCTCTTTTCAGGGCTTAAAAAATGTGACTGTCATAGAAGGTGAATCTGTCACCTTGGAGTGCCACATCTCTGGATACCCATCTCCCAAAGTGACATGGTACAGAGAAGACTACCAAATCGAAAGTTCCATTGACTTCCAGATAACCTTCCAGAACGGAATTGCCCGCCTCATGATCCGCGAAGCCTTTGCCGAGGACAGTGGACGGTTCACCTGCAGTGCTGTGAACGAGGCCGGCACCGTCAGCACTTCCTGCTACCTTGCTGTACAAGGTCGGTGGCTCCCCTTCCTGACCCTAACATCTGTCTGTCTGTCCGTCTGTGGCACCTCCTTCAGCAGCCACACCCTTCAGTAGCAGTTTCTGCACACATCCACGTTCTTTCCCGTGTGGGAGTTACAAAGTAGATCCCAGGGTCCACTAACTCTTGACACTGTGGTCACTAGTGGAGCAGACTAGAGACTCACGCCAACGTCACCTTTTGCCTTCTAGTGTCGGAAGAGTTTGACAAGGAGACAACTCTGACTGAGAAATTTGCCACAGAAGAGAGACGGTAAGCCCTTCTTTCACCGGCCTGGCCGCTGTTTTCACATGGCGTTGACACTTCTTCCCTGTAGCTATCGGTCCATGGCTGCCTAGCAGCTCACAGGCCTGGCCTTCTCTTCCCAGCTTCGTGGAGTCACGGGATGTCGTAATGACGGACACCAGTATCACAGAGGAGCAGGCAGGGCCTGGGGAACCCGCTGCGCCTTTCTTCATTACAAAGCCAGTGGTCCAGAAACTGGTGGAAGGTGGGAGCATTGTGTTTGAATGCCAGATCGGTGGCAACCCAAAGCCCCACGTCTACTGGAAAAAAGCTGGTGTCCCTCTCACCACTGGATACAGGTACTCCAATGGCTGGTGACAGCATTCTCTAGGGGGTGATCTATAGATATATAGCTGTATGGATATTCTAAAGATACCCTAAAGAGAAGCAGAACTTGCCTTCCCCATTAACCCCTGAATGCAGATCCACTCATAATGAAACATTATTGGTTATCCTGAGGTGTTTTTATAGTCTCACATGGTTTGGAGGGTTGTCTGGTTCTGTTTTGTTTTTTGGTACCAGGGATTGACATAAGACTTCCAGACAAGCACTCTACCATGTAAGTGTATTCCCAGGCTTTCATATAGAGTTTTCTTGAGAAATAAAGCTTTGCAAGAAGAGGAGATGGAAGACATATTTTACAATTCTGGCTTAATTAACTGATAGTGTTATAAAATAAAATATCTTACACACCCAATTTCAGAAAATATTTGAGGGAACTTTCAATAAATACATACTATAATTAAGTTGCTACACAATAAAAATAGAGGTTATATAATGGAGAAAGCTAATTGTTCATAAAAGCTGTATTAATAAGTTTTGCAATTGAATGAAAGGATGATATTAACACATAGATCTTGTTTCTTATTAATTAGATCTACAGTGTATTGGGTCTATAGTCTGGATTATTCATTTTACCTTTAAATAATTAACAAAGAGAGAATACCTACTGTTTAGGTGTCCATATCACTTGCCAGCATAAGTGCTGAAGGCGAGGACTTCCCTATGTGGCACTGCATTATTCTGTTGTCTGTTTTGTTTTGTTGTAATGGGTTTCCTGGTGTTGCCCAGACAGGCCTGAACTTATGGGATCAGGCAAGCCTATGTACTTCAGCCTCCCATGATTCTGAGACTATCAGTGCATGCTACCATGCCCACCTGAATTATCTTTGAAATAAAAACTTCAAGTTGTTGATTCTTCATTATTCATCACATGCATTTTCTCAGTTTTCAACAAATTCATCATCACTTCTTGGCAGAACTTAGACACAGGTCTCTTGCCACTGAATTCTGTATCATAGAGCCATTTACAAGTAAAAATTTAGCTCTTTTACTCTAAGGAGGGTTGTGTATGACTGACGTTTTCATTTATTCATTTCCGTGAAGATACAAAGTGAGTTATAACAAACAAACTGGTGAATGCAGACTGGTGATTTCTATGACGTTCGCTGACGATGCCGGAGAGTACACTATTGTCATCCGTAATAAGCACGGGGAAACCTCGGCCTCGGCCTCCTTACTCGAGGAAGGTAAGGACAGTCCAGAGCTGTTCCTGCACAGTATGAACCGAAATGAAGGAGGGAGGCTCTGTGTTTGCACAAAGACATATTGCAGCTTCCCAGTTCTCATAATTCGTCCCTATACCTTCCAGCCTCAGCTATACAGACGATGTTTTAGGCTACAAAGCCTTGAAAGCTACACCGTGCTGATCTGCTGAGTCCTAACAATAGTTCTTACTTGGTAAAGGACACTATTTTATGTTCCTGGAAGATGTAGCGATTCTACCTCCAGATGCCTTGCAGGTCCAGGCAGCCAGCATGCCTCAACACCAGATGGGAGTGGTGAATTGGAGGATGCGCCCCTTGTTTCCAGAGAGCAGTGGCCCTCCACCTCTCTTGTAGTGCTGCCTGGCAAGCATGCACCATGCCCAGGGCTGGAGCCTCCAGTATTTTATAGCAAAACTGAAAGTCAGAATTTATCCATGTTCACAATTTAAAGAAGAAAAGTCTCATAGTATTCATGCCAAATGTGTTCTGAGTCACCATTAGTCTCCGGTGGGTTTTCCTATTTGTGGAACACCATCCCATATTCTGTCTCCCTTGATCTCCTCCAGACCCCTTAAAGGAAGTTACCTTCTTATCCTCATTTAGCAGTTAAGCACAGAAAACTCTGGCAGGCAAATGAATTATTAATAGCCTCAGAGCAAATGAGGAAGACCTCTGGGGGAACCCCAAAGGACAGGCTGCTGCTATCAAATTCTGTATACAATAGTTTTACTTGTTAATGGGCATTTGGTTTTGAGATTAAAATGTAATAAATCTTTATGGAACCATTTTTGATTATAAAAATTTGGAAAACCTGGCTTTGGTTAATTTATCCTAGACATAGTTTGCCCGATTGAGTAGTGGTCTGGATGCTTTTTGATAAGAGCACCAAAAAATGACTTGTGTTCTTGTCTCTCAGCTGATTATGAGGCACTGGTGAAGTCCCAGCAAGAAATGCTTTACCAGACACACATGAGTACATTTATCCAAGAACCCAAAGTGGGGGAAATAGCACCTGGATTTGCATATTCTGAATATGAAAAAGAATATGAAAAGGAACAGGCCTTAATTAGGAAGAAAATGGCTAAAGATACTGTGATGGTCAGAACTTTTGTAGAAGACCAAGTAAGTATAACAATAACAGCTAACTAAACCAGTTCATAAATCACATTTTTCTCCAGTAATTCCCCATTTTTTGATATATTCCTCTTCAACCATTTGTAGGTCAAATTCACTGCTAGCATGTTTCTTTGATTTTCATGGTATATTGCACTTGAAATTTGAGAAATTGGAATATATGTGAAAAAATATGACTTGAGAAATAAGGGTTGCATATTCAAAAAAGGACAAATATTGAAATAACGAAGTCCATAATGCCATTCTCTCTCCATCTCTGTGACAAATGCCCACAAATAACCCATACTCTAGGATTACAATTTACATAACATGCCACAGCATTCACAAAGACTCCTTCTGTGTAGATTAAAATTAAACCAAATGTAGAAACCATCTAGATTCTTCTCATAGTTAAAAATGTCATTAAGTCTTCAACACTGAAACTAATACAGTGTTAAAGTCTTGTGTCTGTGAGGATGTAACTTTTTAACAAGTTATCATCTTTTTACTACATAGGAATTCCATATTTCTTCCTTTGAAGAGAGGCTTATCAAAGAGATTGAATACAGAATAATAAAGACTACGTTGGAAGAGCTTCTTGAGGAAGATGGCGAAGAAAAGATGGCAGTTGACATTTCTGAATCTGAAGCTATCGAATCAGGATTTGATATAAGAATAAAAAACTATAGAATTCTTGAGGGAATGGGTGTCACTTTTCATTGCAAGATGTCTGGATATCCATTACCCAAGGTAAAATAAAA